GGCCCGGTTGTTGTCACTCCGGGGTTGCGGGATCATAACCGTAGTAGGTGACTATAACTTGCAAGATCGGATCTAGAACATGGATATAATGATGATAACATAAACGGTTCAGATCTGAAATCATGGCACCCGGGCCCAAAGTGACAAGCATTAAGCATGGCAAAGTCATAGCAACATCAATCTAAGAACATAGTGGATACTAAGGATCAGGCCCTAACAAAACTAACTCGATTACATGATGAATCTCATCCAACTCCTCACCGACCAGCGAGCCTATGAAGGAATTACTCACTCCCGGTGGGGAGCATCATGGAATTGGCGATGGAGAAAGGTTGGTGATGACGAAGAACGAAGATCCCCTCTCCGGAGCCCCAAACGGACTCCAGATCTGCCCTCCCGAGGAAGAACAGGGCTTGGCGGTGGCTCCATCTCGTGGATCGCGATAATTCTTTCTCCCTGATTTTTTCTGGAAATATGTGATTGTATAGTATCAGGGGGGTCGTCAGTGGGGCCACCAGGTGGGTACAATGCACCTGGGCGCGCCAGGAGAGGGGGCGTGCCCTGGTGGGTTGTGCCCACCCAGGGGGCCCTCTCTGGTGGGTCTTGGCTCCAGTAATTCTTATTATTGATACAAAAAATCCTCAAAAAGTTTCATTCCATTCCGAGAACTTTTATTTCTGCACAAAAACAATACCATGGTAGTTCTGCTGAAAACAGCATCAGTCTGGGGTTAGTTTCATTCAAATCATGCAAATTAGAGTCCAAAACAAGAGAAAAAGTGTGAGAAAAAGTAGATATGTTGGAGACGTAGCACATATGACCATGCAAAATTGTGTCAAATTTTACGTTTATATTCTTTGAGAACAGCTGAATAACTCCCACAAGGCCATCTTGAGCGGCTCGGATATATGCATCTGTCGAACTCAGTGCGGTGAATTCTTATTTGGACGAGGCCGGAGCACGCATAGCTTCTTTTAATCGTCGGTGATTCATCACGCTCTCCACTTCAGAATTTGTGACCGACACATCATCTGAATCCTCTTGAGGAGGCGGAATGGGCGTGGCGTCGACTTGCATCCTAGCTGACGAGTCCGGCACCGGATTAGTGAACATTTGGCTAATCGGGCGTTCTCCCACCATTTGCCGCGTACTCCTCCTAAAAGATTAAAAGACAAAAAGGGAAGACTCTTAACAATGCAGACTCATGCATATGCATGCATTAAAGTATACATACCTCTTGGAAGATTGTGAGGTCTCCGCGGTACTGTTGGTCCTTTTTCGTTTTGAATGACGACCTTGTGTAGGGGCCGCCCTAGAGGAGATACGGTCCCTGGAGCGCTGATCCTGTTAATATTCGGATTAGTACAACAGGTAAGGATGCAGATGAGGATCTCTTCATAGGAAGCTTCTGGATACTCACAATGCAGAATGGGTAAAGGCGAGGGTAGTCGGCGATGATGGCCACTTCCAAACCGTCATACCTCACCTGATAGAATACCCCATCTTCCAAGAGGTATATATATATATATATATATATATATATATATATATATATATATCCGGATCCTCGCAAAAGCCAGGATCTTCATCACGATTATGATCCTCCGGCTGGGGAGCGGGACAGTGGACGTCCTCGGTCATCCTCCTCCATGACTAGTTGGTGGCAACAAAAAGTAAATTCGATTAGTGTCTGCAATGCAATGAAATAAGCACAGACGATCGAGATCTTACCCATTCAATAGGGGTGTACATGGAATAAGCCTCCCGACAGTGTAACCGGAGAAAATCTTCTTTTCCGCCCTTGTACAGATTGGCCAAAATTGAAGCCAGTTCAGCGGGGTGTCCGGACCCTGCCGTCTATAACGGGACGCGTCTTCTTCTCCGTTGTGACACCATAAGGGAGTTACTCTGGATTGGAGAGGCTGCACACACCTCTTTATTGCAATCACCATGACCTCAACTATTGAGAGTTCGGAGTGGGCGAGCAGCCTGACCTTGCTGACCAACCTCTTTATCTCCGCACTGTCCTCCTCCTTGGGACTTCGGGGAAGCCAGTTGAAGCACTTCCTTAGAGGAGCGCTGGAAAATTCAGGGAGGCCGCGCCTGACTGGATCCGGCAGCGGAACATCATTCATATAGAACCACTCCGAAGACCACTGCGGGTATGCTTCTTTAGGTGTTCCTACAGGGTATCCGGATCCGGCAATACGCCATACTTCGGCACCGTCCACTTCAAATATGGAACCCCCTTTGTGGCGGGGAACGAGGCTGAAGAATTTCCTCCATAATCCAAAATGGGCCTCGATGCCTAGGAATAGCTCGCGGAGGGCAACAAAGTGTGAGATGTGCAGGATCGAACCTGGGGTGAGGTTGTGCAGTTGGATGCCGTAAAATTCCAATAACCCTCAGAGGAAGGGATGGATTGGAAATCCCAGGCCCACAACAGAAATGGGACGAAGCACACCCTCTCCTCCTTATTTGGGCTGGGGAAGTTATCAGCCGTCGCATCATTGCCTATTGAATATAATCCCGCTCGAACGGGAACTAGATATGCGAGGGGGCGGTAGCCCTGCGTCTGGAGCCGGCTTAGTTGAAGATGAGGCACGGAGCAACTCTGCCAATCACCCTCTTGAGGGCCGTGGGGGCGCGAAGAGGAGCCTGGGTTGCCAACCATGATGGAAGGCCTTGTTTGTGGCTAGACTTGGTCGTTTTTCTTTTGCGCGGTGTGAGATGGCATTTGGAGATTCATATCTCCTTATACAGGTGCCATCCGAGCGTGGCGAAGGGCTTATTTGCGAAAAAGCATGGACCGTTCGTATTCGCCTGGCGCGCGAAACTCAAAGCGCTGACAGGAGGAATCGTAAAAGGCGTCGAGGTTATCGCCGGATTGTCATTGATCCGGATTATAATGAAGAACCCTCCTTGCAAAGCCGAAGACATGGGCCGAATATTACATCGTCATTGAAGGCAAGTTCGGGGGCTACTGAGGAAGTCCTGGATTATGGGGTCCTCGGGTGTCCGAGCTGTGTAGCATGGGCCGGACTGATGGGCCATGAATACAAGATAGAAGGCCTTCCCCCGTGCCCGGGTGGGACTCTCCTTTTCATGGATGGCAAGCTTAATGTCCGGATGTGTAGTTTCTTCTCTTTGTAAACCGAATCTGTACAACCCTAGGCCCCTCTGGTGTCTATATAAACCGGAGGGTTTAGTCCATAGGGGCTATCACAAATCATATAGGCTAGACATCTAGGGTTTAGCCATTACGATCTCGAGGTGGATCAACTCTTGTAACCCCTATACTCATCAAATACAACCAAGCATGACATAGGGTTTTACCTCCATTAAGAGGGCCCGAACCTGTTCGGGGGGCCCTACCCGAGATCGGCCAGTTTTGACACCGACAAAGGTCTCGTCACACCGCTGCCTCGATCCCCTCCACCTTCCTGCCCCTTGGCTTTGTTGGTGGCCAGAGGAGTGGGGAACCCACCCTTCTATTTTCTTAGTTCTAGTATGTCCTTGTTTTACTTAGATTCTATTCCTTGGCATTTGGCAACATCGACGAGGTTCGTAGCCAATCGCCATGCAAAGTTCCCACCTAGCTCAATAAACAGAAAATTGGTTTGGAGGTCTCGAGCTTGTGCCTAGTGTGTGCGGTCGAACCAGAAGATAATTTTCATCCCATGTTAATCTGTCCCCTCGCCCGCCAGCTGTACAATGCTATGTTCGAGGTGTGGTGTCTACCTGCGCGGGAGTCTTTCGTGAACTTGGGGAAGGAGTGGCTACTACATGCAATTGCACCCCTCGATGAGATTGCTCGATGCATGCTCTTGATGGTCTTTTGGAGGTGTTGGTTCATCAGGAATGAAGTCATACACAACAAGCCGCCTCCACCTGTGGAAGTTTCAGTTCGGTTCCTTCGTAGTTATTTAGATTCGCTTATTGGGATCAAACTAAATTCTTTTATGGACCCGGCTAAAGGGAAGAGTTCTATATCTTATATGCCCCCTATATCGCATGCTACGAAATCTCCACAGCTACTATCCTAGGATTTACTTAAGCTCGGGTGGGTGAAGCTTAATACAGATGGATCCTTGGGCGTGAGAGGTGATGCTGGTGTTGGTATGATTGCGGGGTGAGAAGGGGGAGATCATCTTCTCGGCATGTAGGCATCTTCACACTTGTTGTGATGCGCTTGAAGCTGAGCTTTGTGCGTGTGTGGAGGGTTTATCCCTCGCTCTTCAACGAAGTAATTTGCCTATTGCTATTGAGATGGACTCCAGTTCGGCGGTGGCTATGATCCAAGATCCGGGTGTTGTGGCGACTTGCTGTGTTGGAACAAGGTCTTTCTGGCCTCTTATCTGATCTGGCCCTCTCTTTAGATCTTGGTAAGGTCCAGTTTCTCCAACCCTGTTTGGTTAGTACTCCCTCCGTGAACTAAGAGGGAGTACATCTCATTGCCAGCGACAAGGGTCTTCATAACCTCCAACGAGCGGCAAACAATCGAAGGAAGATGGCCATGAAGGTTTTCAATGTATATTTATCTTTATGGTCGTTTTGTGTAGAGTTGTCGTTTTGTCCTGTTTTCTCTGCAAAACACTTCCTCCATCCCAGAATAAGTGTCTCAACTTTGTACTATAACTCTAATATAAAGTTGTACTAAGTTTGAGACACTCATTTTAAGACAGAGGGAGTATTATATATAAGACCCTTTCGGTGTCTTTTCTAAAAAAAAAAAGGAGACGCTAAAACTACATAGAACCCCATTCTGTGTTCTCTTCAAGGGCATTAAGCACCTGAACAATTCGTGAAGGAAACAGGATAGTACATGGAACGCTATTTCAGAACAAACGATATTGTCACACATTGTATTGCTGGAGTGGAGCATGACATCACTTAGCCCATAAGGATACAGCCCCCAGTTAACCTGAGCATCACACAGCACAAAACTTAGGTGTTCCTGAGAAGCAACAAAGCTCCCTGCCGTTGTTTGTCAAGGATGACTAGTTGAGAACAACAATCTTCTGTCTTTTATTGGGCTTCTTCCCTTTGGCTGGATTAGCCTCCGGTTTATCTGGATTGCCACATTTTTCTTTGCTAGGCATTTCAGGCTCATCGTCACCATCTTCATCGATATCATCTTCTGAGTCAGATGAGCTGCTAGCAAATGAACTTCCCAAGGGTGGGAAGCTGCTCATTGTCGCCTCAGCTGCATCCACAGCCTGCTCTGAATGAAGATCAGCTACACCGAGAATCAAATCCTGCAAACAGAACCATGCTCATCAGTTAGCTCAGTAACACTGTTTTCTCCACTATGTCCCTGAGGATAGATTAGCTTTACCATCTCAATATATTCCTTTTCATTTCCAGTGAGTGCTTCAATGTCATACTCCTCAGGAGGCTTGTTCTGCACAAAGATAAAATGGAGCTAAGTAACAGTAGGGACACTGATATAACGCAAAATCAATTAGAAGCCTACCTGCGCATCAAGCTGCAATTTCTCATTGGCCTTTGCCATCTCTCCCAAGAAATCCTTCACTTTTCCAAGAACTATGCAGCATTGCAACACCCAAGTTAAACAGAAAAATTCAGGGGAGAAGTACATAAGCCAACAAACAAATTCCTTTTGTATCTGTCCGCTTGGACATGTAAATATTTGTCAAACCTTTTCATTTAGAAAATTACAATGTAGAGGCTTTCCCAATGATATTTCAGTCAAAAAATTGTAAAACATAATAAGCCGACTCAAAGAAATTGTTTCACACAATGACCTACTATGTTAACAGCCCCAATAGCCGTATGGTTCAAGCTCGTTCTTAGCAACAACCAAACAGTGCCACTGATTAATGACTCGGAAGAACCAGGGTGAACACATACATGTTCATATGATTCTCTGATGAGCTTGGACTAAACAAACATATAATCAATCTCGCGCAACGGTTCATCTATTTTCGGAGAAGAGATACCTTGGCTCTTTGGGAGTGGGTCGGTGGGAGGCCCCGCCTTGCGCGTGCCCTTGTGCTGCTCCCTGCCCGCGAACAGCGATTCTGCAAATCACACAAAACCCCTAAACATTGCAAAGGAGGAAGGCAAACACCAACCAGAGAGGAATTTGGGGGAGGCGGGGACGGGGATGAGAGCCGCACCGATGAAGGAGGGTGGATTGGGCCCCGATGGGAGGTCCAGGAGTTCTTTGCTAGGCTCCCCCATGGCTTCCGACGAACGAGAGAGAAGGGTCACCACGACTCCGCGCAGTGTGCGCAGCGAGTGCGACGCCGGCGTGGAGAGCGAGATACAGAGGCGACGCTGCGCGTGCGGACAGCCGGCCACGGCACGTTCGACGACGGCGGCGGCGCAGGACGCAGGCACGTCTACCCGAGCACACGCGCGGGCGGCGAGTGTGGCCGATGGGGAGTTGGGGACGGTCGAGGAACAGGGCTGGAGAGCTGCGGCCGAACGGCGTCGAGAAAAGTGGGCGGAGCGAGCGTGCCGGCCGATGGGGACGGGGACATCCAGGAGGAGGACAGGCGAGGCGAGGCAGAGAGAGAAGAGAAACGAGAAAATATTGTAGGCGCGTGCGTGAGCGGCGGCGGGGAGGCAGGATGGATCGGACGCTAGGGCTTAGAAGCAGACCCCGGCACGGCCTGGCCTAAACGGGCTAAGCACGGCACGGCCCACCCAGGCACGGCACAGCCCGTTTAGTGCCGGGCCGGCACTCGTGCCGCGCTTCCTGGCCCAGGCACGGCACAGCGCGTTTAGCCCACCGGCTCGCCTGATTTGAGGCTATTTTGGGCCTATTTGGACTGTTTTGGGTGGCTAATATAAATAAAATTCTTATTTTTTTAGCAATCAACCACTTTATTTAGCACTAATAATGTTGCTAATACAAATAATATCTGGAGTGGAAATAAGCCAAAGATGGCGGCCCTTATCTAGAGTAGTTGCCGGCTTCGCATGATCATGAGCTTCGTAGTTTGCCTCCATCCCTTCATGAACAATGTTTGCTTCAGTGTAGTTTCTCCGCCTGGAATGAATCTCCTTGATGATGACCACCGATGTTCCCCTGAACTCACCCTTTAAATGATTGATCGTAGCAGCACAATCAGTAGCAATGTACATACTTGAAAGGTTAAGGTCTTCAGCTAGATAAAAGGCTTCACAGCAAGCATACGCTTCCAGAATCTTCGGATAGATGATCCCTTCATAGCATGTCACGGATGCACCAATATATATATACCTTGACCGTCTCTGCAAATAGCAGCGCAAGCGCCTCTGTTCCCATGTCTGGATATGGCTGCGTCCAAATTAATCTTGGGTAATCCCCCGGGGGGGGCATCAACCACTTTTAAAATAAAATTCTTAAAAATATAGAATTTGTAAGCGGGTCGTTGAGGGAGTCCTGGACTAAGGGGTTCTCGGGCGTCCGGCCTGTTGGACATGGGCCGGACTAATGGGCTGTGAAGATACAAGACCGAAGACTCTCTCCCGTGTCCGGATGGGACTCTCCTTGACGTGAAAAGCAAGCTTGGCGATCAAATATGAAGATTCCTTTCTCGGTAACCGACCTTGTACAACCCTAGTCCCCTCCGGTGTCTATATAAACCGGAGGGCTTAGGATCAAGATGATCATAATCATAGTCATACATGCTAGACTTCTAGGGTTTTAGCCATTACGATCTCGTGGTAGATCAACTCTTGTAATACTTATATTCATCAAGATCAATCAAGCAGGAAGTAGGGTATTACCTCCATAGAGAGGGTCCGAACTTGGGTAAACATTGTGTCCCCTGTCTCCTGTTATCATCGACCTTAGACGCACAGTTCGAGACCCCCTACCCGAGATCCGCCGGTTTTGACACCGACATTGGTGCTTTTATTGAGAGTTCCACTGTGTCGTCCTCAAAAGGTTTGATGGCTCCTTCAATCATCTACAACAATGCTGTCCAAGGGGAAGTCTTCCTCCCTAGACAGATCATCGTGTTCGGCGGCTTCGCACTGCGGGCCAACTCGTTTGGACATCTGGAGCAGATCGAAAGCTGCGCCCCTGGCCGCCAGGTCAGATTCGGGAGCTTGAACTACGTCGCGGATATCCGCGGAGACTTGATCTTCGACGGATTCGAGACCACGGCAGTCGCTCCCCGTCACCTCGATGAACATGACTTAGATCTGTCATCGGGCCATACCCAGGAAATTGCACCTGTAACCGCTTTGGCCTTAAATCCGGAGTAGGTCGCGCCATCCGAGGATGGGAAGCTCAACCCCGCCATGGAAGCCGCAGACTCCACGGTGTTGGAGCCGCACACAGACCTAACCTTCGGTAATGCCTGTGTCACCAGGACCTCGGACTCGTTTCTGGCTGTAAATTCCAAACTATGTGCGTCCGCGCATGTCGAGCATGATCGGCCATCGATCGCCGAATTCAGCACCGCGGACATCTTCCGGCACTTGCCTTTGGGCGATGTGCTGAACTCATTAAAAAATCTATCCTTAGCGGGGGATTCACAGCCGAACTATATCCGGTTCGAACCGAAAGCTGATGACGGGGAATTTCGCTTCCCACCCGCCACCTGTTGGGTAACGTAGTAATTTTCAAAAATTTCCTACACACACGCAAGATCATGGTGATGCATAGTGCTACGTCTTGAGCTTGCGTTGGTTTTCCCCGAAGAGGAAGGGATGATGCAGCAGAGTAGCGTAAGTATTTCCCTCAGTTTTTGAGAACCAAGGTATCAATCCAGTAGGAGGCCACGCTCAAGTCCCTCTACCTGCACAAAACGGTAGCTACTCGCAACCAACGCGATTAGGGGTTGTCAATCCCTTCACGATCACTTACGAGAGTGAGATCTGATAGATAAAATATTTTTGGTATTTTTGGTATAAAGATGCAAAGTAAAAAGTAAAGGCAAAGTAAATAGCAAAGCAAGATTAAAGTGATGGAGATTGATATGATGAGAATAGACCCGGGGGCCATAGGTTTCACTAGTGGCTTCTCTCAAGAGCATAAGTATTCTATGGTGGGTGAACAAATTACTATTGAGCAATTGACAGAATTGAGCATAGTTATGAGAATATCTAGGCATGATCATGTATATAGGCATCATGTCCGTGACAAATAGACCGAAACGATTCTGCATCTACTACTATTACTCCACTCATTGACCGCTATCCAGCATGCATCTAGAGTATTAAGTTAAAAACAGAGTAACGCCTTAAGCAAGATGATATGATGTAGAGAGATAAATTCATGCAATATGAAATAAACCCCATCTTGTTATCCTCGATGGCAATGATGCAATACGTGCCTTGCTGCCCCTTCTGTCACTGGGAAAGGACACCGCAAGATCGAACCCACAGCTAAGCACTTCTCCCATGGCAAGAACTACCAATCTAGTTGGCCAAACCAAACGGATAATTCGAAGAGACTTGCAAAGATAACCAATCATGCATAAAAGAATTCAGAGAAGATTCAAATATTATTCATAGGTAGACTTGACCATTGTGACGCCCGGGCAATTAGGCTACAGTAATCCCACGTTAATGATGCCACGTCACCACGGTTACTCTTGTTAATCTCGTGTTAGTTCAAAATAGATTCGAAATTCAAACTTAAAATAAAGTCAAACGGTAAAGATTTTCAAACTTTAATACTAAAATGTTCGAGGGGTGAAAAATAATGCGTAGGTATTTATGGTGGAGGAAACATCTTTTTATAAAGTAGTTAAAAGCACTAAATTAATAAAAACTGCAGTAAAACTAATATTTAATTGTCTTTTAAATACTAAACAAATTTAAACTAATTGTTTAGGGTGCCAAATCAATTGTGGTAGTGTCATAAGTATTAGTTCTAATTTAGGGGCTAGATTTATAATTTATAAAACAAAGGTAAAAATAAACAGAAAAGAAATTGAAAAAAAAAAGAGAAAAGGAAAACTAGCAAACAAAAAAAAGGGGAGAAAAGAAAACAGGACCCCCCTCCCCGCTGGACCACAAGTGGCCCAGCTGGCCTCAGCCGCTCGAACGGGCCGGCCCACCCCGGTCCACCTCCCCTACTAACCCCTACCTCCACCGAAACCTAACCCTAACCGGCACACGATCCCCACTCCCCCCCTCTCTCTCGATCCCGTCTGGATCGGGGCCCCAGCGCCCGATCCCGCCCACATCGTTGCCCCCGTCGCCCGTCGCCGCCGTTCGTCGGATCGCCCACCACCTCGTCGGACCGCCTCCCGGCCGAACCGCTCCGTCCTCGACCTCCTCGCCGGATCTGCGTCGCCCGACCCCGCCGCCGCCGGGTCGACCGCGCCCGCCGCCTCCCGAGGACCGCTCCGCCCGGAGCCCGCCCTCCCTCGCCGGACTGTCGCCACCTCCTCGAGCCCATTGCCTTCCCCTGCAGCTCCCCTGTGAGCACCCCCTTCTATCCTCCTTCCCCTCCTTCCTTGCGTCGCGGGCGTGCGCCGGTGCACACCACGGTGCCCTGCTGTGCCCCCCCCCGGCCTGCTCACTGCAGCCTGTGCACGCTCCCGTGCGTGGCCACACTGCCGCTAGCCGGTAGCCCGCCCGCATAGTCCGCGCCTGCTGCCTACCTCATGTCGCCCCACCACGCCTATT